TGCATAACTCGAAGAACATAACATGCGGAAGAAGCTTGACGACGCTCCAATTGGTGGAAATCGTCGTACAGGCTGTTCCCAAAGGGTGGAGACACAACTCTTTGCATGTCACCAATGAAGAGGTGATGAGGTGCTTTGCGGGAGATGTATCCAAATCCGTAGCCTTGATGGAGCAAGAAGTCAAGTGGGAAGTTCGTCACCTTCAGGATCTGGTTCTTAAACCGCTCGATCGGAACCCGGGTGCCATTTTGGTCATCTGCCCAGTACTGTACTTCCATGCCTTTCGCATGATGTTCCGTTGGAGTGCTGGTTTCAGTCCGAAGGAGGAGAACGAGGAACAGATACTCACTCTTTCCAAGACAGCGTACAAAGCAGTTGGTCTTCCGTCTCTTGCCACGTGGCGCACATGTGGCAGACTGGGGAGAGCTTACGTTATCCCCAAGGACAAAGACTACTGAAGGTGGCGTCCGATCTCTCCATCCTGGTCTGAGCCATCAAGGACTACAAGCACTCGCCAGGGTAGGGCACTCAAATATATGCTGTTGTGCCTACCAGCGGCGTTCCACTTTAGTCTGAGATCTACAGATCAAATGAAAAAAATGATGCTGGAAGGAGTGGCGAGCATCCAGAGGGCCGGCAATACGATCATCGGAAGAAGCTATGATATTAAAGATATGTTCGCTCAACTTTCTCATGACGACATCGTCCCGTCAGTTCGATGGATCTCACAAGTGCACGAGGACCGGGGGTTTGTCGGCGTAAAATTGAGCATTCGAGGAAAGTGCTGCAAAATGGCCAGAACTCGGATGAAGGAAACTGGATACCTCCTCTTCTCCTTTGAACAGCTCATGCACATTTTGGTGTACGAACTGCAACACACGTACACTGTATGTGAGAATCAAGTCTACCAATAGTTTTTTGGGGTTCCGATGGGGAAGCACTCATCCCCTGCACTGGCGAACCTGCCGTGTGCTAAGGCTGAGTACTTCTTTCTTGGAGCCTTGGGTGTGGACCGGCGACTGGTAGCCGGTGTGAGGATGGTTAATGACGCATCAATTCTGACTGTTTTTTATCACTCGAATCACGACTCGTACATCAGAGCATTAGGAATCTTGGATTGGCTCTCGGAATGTTACCCGGAAACCCTCAAACTGGTTAGAAAGGATGATGGGAACAACGCATGGGACTTTTTGGGATCTCGGGTGATCCTGGATTCATGCCCGCCTGTGGTGCACATTCTGCCACGAACGAAGAATCAGATGTCGATTGTGGAATATGGAGTCTTGCACGACCACTCCATGCAGGATTTCAGTTCGTACTCGGCGAAGAAGGTAAAGCGGATGACCCTGACTGCATCAATGCTTCGGATATGGAAGTCCTCAACGGACGAAGCTGCGGCATTAGCATCGATCATATGCCTCCTGAAAGAGGCTCGCCTCTGGGATTACCCCCTGGAGGTCTTCTTCTTCTTCTTCTTCTTGTTCTTCGGATCCTTGGCTAGGTTCGCCAAGGTGGTGGGCTGTACACTGGGATCTACGATCTCGCACATGTACCCCCACCATCGCAATTTTGGGTCCTAGGTAGGTCAAGCATGGGCTTGTACGACTACGGGTAGCTTCAGTTAATTCTTGGTTATTGACCGAATGGGACTCCGGTCATTTAAAAATTAAAAAAAGGGGAGGTTTTAGACACTGTTTAATTCTCCGCACTTGCTATGCTGACGGGAATTTTCCCAGTTTTATGTCGGTTCCATATTTTTTGGGGGGCTGGATCCCTCCGGATTTTTCGATTTTCGGCACTGTTTCGAAATTTATTTATTTATTGTTTTTTATTCATTTAATTTATTTTTCAGCGCCAGACGCGGTACCGTCAGTTTTTGGGCACCCTGACGAGAGCAGCTACCCGGTGCTCCGCGTTGTACGTAGCAACGAATCTGGTTTTTGAAGGACATGAGCACAATCGACACTTTTTAGTACCTTTGGGCACGTTTCTACCTCTGGAACTCCGTGGAACGGAAATATATATGTCTGTAATCACGATGGTAATGAGCATCTCCAGCACGTAGCAGTGCCCATATCAGAAAAATAGCTTTGCCTCTGGCTTTATCGGATGACGAGCATAGGGAGTTGTATGCGAGAGTATGAGAGAGGCCTGATATGTCGTGAACGCGTTATAGGAAGCAGGCTGGGCGTGAAGACAAAGACGTGGGATAGACGTAAGAGGGAATGGTCGCTATGATTCCGTGCTGATTGATGAGGAGTTATACTCCTTCCTCGTTAAGAGAATTGGGCACGCACCAAGTCGAGACGCGTCGAGGTTTTTGCGTGATCTGTGCGGTGTTTGGCATGAAATTTTCTTTCTGCCCTCCGAGGGAGAGTGTTGTATATGTTTGGACTACCTTGACTTCGAGGTAAGCGTGACAACCGACGTAGCCTCTATCCGTAAGCGTGGTCATGTAGGTTATCAGTTACCCCACGGGTAACGAGAAACCTGCTGAAGTGGATGAGTTTGGGGGATTGGGAAGTAAGGATTGTCAGGATTGTCGTAGAGATGGCGTCGCAGTTGGGGAGAAAGATCCGGATCTTTCGTGATCTGCGTGCAGTAAGGCGGATTCGGGAAGTTTTGCGGGAGATGGTCGGTAGCATACTTTGGCGTATGACTGCCCCGGGCAGACATACTGATCGAGGGGGAAGGGCGATTGTGGAGTACTTAAGCAGTAGTGAACGGCTGCTTGGGATAGTATATCATACCATCGTGGCTCCTCTGGTTAGACGTGCAAAAGTCGCTTCGAGGGTGTACAAAATGTGGGTTATACGAGCTCTTTCAAGTGTCGTACGACGTTTTTATCGTGTCCTTGCAAAGATCAGACGTGCTCTTTTTGTAGTGAATAGCCTAGTTTGAGAATTAGAAGGGATGGCGGGAGTAGACGCGCCGGCGATGACGAGTTTAGGTGCGCTGAACATGGGAGGGCAGGGAGGGATCGACCAAGCTATGGGAGGACTTGGTCCGATAAATCCTGTGATGCAAGGGATCGGTGTCGCTGGTCAGCAAGGGGCTGCACCAGGGAGCGGGGTAGCCGCACAGTATGGCGTCGTGACATGCTACATATGCGGGAAGAATGGCCACTATGCACGGAATTGCTGGCAGGCCACGAATAGACAAAGACCAGAGGGTGACAATAGTGAAATGTGGGAGATACTTCTTCGAATTGGCAGGAGAGAGAAAGAGGAGGAGGAAAGGAAGAAGCGTGAGATAGATGAGGTGAAACGTAAAGAGGAGGAGGAACGACGGGAGGGTGAAAAACTTATGGAGGAACAGGCGAGAGAAGCTAAGCTAGAAGCGACCATTGTTAGGATCCTTACGCAGCAGAGAGCATCGTTGATGGTAAGTCCCACACCGTTGGCGGGGAGTGGAATCAAGAAGTCACCACACTCCAAGGCACGTATGCTGCGAGATATCACAAGCTATATTGCCCAATCAGAAGATGATAGTGACGACGTGAAGAAGGAGGCTGAACAGTTGATTGAGGCGCTGGAGAGTCGGAGGAAACCTAAGCAGGGCGCTGCGTTAATGCAAGCAGCTGTCAATCGGGCAAAGAAGGTACCTACGTCGAGAATCGATAAGGCTCAGGTGGACAACCTCTCTCCAAGTGATGAAGGCTTCGTAACTCCGAAGAAGGCCTGTCCCGCGGAATGCTCGAGCAAAGGTTTGGTTGACTTCGCCCTCTCTCAAACAAAGTTGCTGAGTGCTATGAAAGCGGGGGAGATTCGGAAGATTTGTGATAAGGAAGGTGTTGTATACGTCAAAAATGACATCTCCATTCAAGAGATCGTAAGGTGCCATACACGACTCGCGTATGAAGGGTTCTTCGAGCTGAAGAGTCAGACGCCAACTTCGCGGGTTGGCGGGCTTGATGCTCCGTAATGGCTTACCAGATTGCGACTCGTGCTGCTGCTATCAAGTTCAGAGAACCGACCGAAAGAAGGAGGTATAGGGAGACACAGAAGATACGATCGTTGATGAACAGGGACGAGGAATTAGCACTGCTTCTACTTCTGATGACCATGAGAGGGCACGTTCCATGGATTAGAAAGCTGTTAAAATTTGTCGAACCTGAAAAAACAAACGTTAGTCGGTCCGGGGTATATGCTATAGTTAGTCCTTACTGTAGGCGATTCTATATTGGATATACAGTAAGGACGATAGTAACGAGGTGGGCAGAACATGTAAGATGCTCGGTAAGTGGGAACACTGGGAATGCTCCGAGGCCTCACACCTGGCTAAGGTTTTTTGCATGGCACTCCTACGTTGCTTTACCATTGGTCTTAGGGGTAGCGGACGGGCTGTTTGTCGAAAGCAGGCTGATCTCGAGATTCTCCCCGTCCTTAAATACGATTGGGCATAATCAGAAAAAGACGAAGAGGCGTCGAAAAAATGCTCCAGACATCGAAAAGATAGAAGGGCGACATACGCGACCAAGGTAGTAACATTCTCCGTTGCAGGGAAGACATTCGAGTCGCTCTGTACAGTCTTCGAGCAGATCGATGGATCGAGGCAATCGATCGACGTGGAATCCACGGCAGGAGAGTACTGGCTTGATTCCTGGAAGCCCATCGGAGAGAAGTATGGCGAATCATTGGTCACCATCGGCATTGTGCGTGTGAAGCTGAAAGAGGCCAGACAGAGAATCCAAGCGGGCTGCCGATTTACTGTCAGTAGGTTGGTTACGACTTCATCTGAAGTACAGAGAAACAAGCGGTTCCTACAGGAGCTTTTGGCTCAACCATAGCGAGTTCGGAGTCTGTACGGACTCACGAACAGGAAGTTGGTTGCTCTCTACTGTGCGGCTGGTCTTTTTTCAAGCAGTAGGAGGAGGAGTGAATTGCGTCAAAAACTGACACGAGTGATTAAGTGCAAGTTTGGCATTCATGTGAGAAAGCGGGTGATCGTCCGTGTTCCGTTCTCAGCACGCGTTAGTATGAGCACAGTTAGGGACATCGTCATCAAGATTATCACGCGATCTGTTATGGATGAGTGTATCCGATCTCTCGTCATAGAGAGACTGAGAATAGTGAGACTGAAAGGGAGGACGGTAGGCAGCATCATCCACAACTATAGATTGAAGCTGGAACGTAGGTCGGATATGTGTACTTGCGTCGGCCTCGATGTCGATAGATTTCAAGGGCATGCTTGGGCTAGGCTCGACGATGTGAAGGGGGTTCACCGATTCCTGCATAACTCGAAGAACATAACATGCGGAAGAAGCTTGACGACGCTCCAATTAGTGGAAATCGTCGTACAGGCTGTTCCCAAAGGGTGGAGATACAACTCTTTGCATGTCACCAATGAAGAGGTGATGAGGTGCTTTGCGGGAGATGTACCCAGGTCCGTAGCCTTGACGGAGCAAGAAGTCAAGTGGGAAGTTCGTCACGTTCAGGATTTGGTTCTTGTACCGCTCGATCGGAACCCGGGTGCCACTTTGGTCTTCTGCCCAGTACTGTACTTCCATGCCTTTCGCATGATGTTCCGTTGGAGTGTTGGTTTCAATCCGAAGGAGGAGAACGAGGAACAGATACTCACTCTTTCCAAGACGGTGTACAAAGCGGTTGGTCTTCCATCTTTTGCCACGTGGCGTGTTGGTTTCAATCCGAAGGAGGAGAATGAGGAACAGATACTCACTCTTTCCAAGACAGCGTACAAAGCGGTTGGTCTTCCATCTCTTGCCACGTGGCGCACATGTCGCAGACTGGGGAGAGCTTACATTATCCCCAAGGACAAGGACTACTCAAGGTGGCGTCCGATCTCTCCATCCTGGTCTGAGCCATCAAGGACTGCAAGCGCTCGACTAGGTAGGGCACTCAGATATATGCTGTTGTGCCTACCAGCGGCGTGCCACTTCAGTCTGAGATCTAGAGATCAGCTGAAGAAGATGATGCTGGAAGGAGTGGCGAGCATCCAGAGGGCCGGCAATACGATCATCGGAAGAAGCTATGATATTAAGGATATGTTCGCTAGACTTCCTCATGACGGCATCGTCGCATCAGTTCGATGGATCTCACAAGTGCACGAGGACCGGGGGTTGGTCGGAGTAAAATTGAGCATTCGAGGAAAGTGCTGCAAAATAGCCAGAACTCGGTTGAAGGAAATTGGATACCTCTTCTTCTCCTTTGAACAGCTCATGCACATCTTGGTGTACGAACTGCAACACACGTACACTGTATGTGAGAATCAAGTCTACCAACAGTTTTTTGGGGTTCCGATGGGGAAGCACTCATCCCCTGCACTGGCGAACCTGCTGTGTGCTAAGGCTGAGTACTTCTTTCTTGGAGCCCTGGGTGTGGACCGGCGACTGGTAACCGGTGTGAGGATGGTTGATGACGCATCAATTCTGACTGTTTTTTATCACTCCAATCACGACTCGTACATCAGAGCATTAGAAATCTTGGATTGGTTCTCGGAATGCTACTCGGAGACCCTCAAGCTGGTTAGAAAGGATGATGGGAACAACGCATGGGACTTTTTGGGATCTCGGGTGATCCTGGAACCATGCCCGCCTGTGGTGCACATTCTGCCACGAACGAAGAATCAGATGTCGATTGTGGAATATGGAGTCTTGCACTACCACTCCATGCACGATTTCAGTTCGTACTCGGCGAAGAAGGTAAAGCGGATGACCCTGACTGCATCAATGCTTCGGATACGGAAGTCCTCAACGGACGAAGCTGCGACTTTAGCATCGATCATATGCCTCCTGAAAGAGGCTGGCCTCCGGGATTACTTCCCGGAGGTCTTCTTCGGATCCTTGGCTAGGTTCGCCAAGGTGGTGGGCTGTACACTGGGATCTTCGATCTCGCAGATGTACCCCCACCGTCGCCATTTTGGGTCCTAGGTAGGTTGAGCATGGGTTTGTACGACTACGGGTAGCTTCAGTTAATTCTCGGTTATTGACCGGATGACGAGCGTAGGGAGTTCTATGCGAAAGTATGGGAGAGACCTGATATGTCGTGAACACGTTGTGGGAAGCAGGTTAGGCGTGAAGAGGAAGAGGTGGGATAGAGGTAAGAGGGAATGGTCCCTATGATTCCGTGCTGATTGATGAGGACTTATACTCCTCCTTCCTCCTGAAGAGACTTGGGCACGCACCAAGTCGAAACGCATCGAGGTTTTTGCGTGATCTTTGCGGTGTTTGGCATGAAATTTTCTTTCTGCCCTCCGAGGGACAGTGTTGTATCTGTTTGGAGTACCTTGACTTCTTCTTCTTCTTCTTCTTCTCCTTTCTTCATTTCTTTCTTCCTTCCTTTCTTTCTTTGTTCCCTTCTTTCTTTGTTTCTTTCTTTGTTTCTTTCTTTGTTTCTTTGTTTCGTTGTTTCTTTGTTTCTTTCTTTGTTTCTTTCTTTCTTTCGTTTCTTTGTTTCTTTTTTATTTGCTATATTTTCTGGAAAAAAAAGAAAAACGAGTTGAGGGGGGGGTGGGGGGGGGGGGGGGGGGACGTGGTATTTTTTCGATAATTTTTGACTATTGTTTGGATATTTTCTCGCTATGTTTTCGCTGTTGTTCCGCTATTTCCTCACTATTTTTCCTGATTTTTTTGCGATTTTTAGGTATTTTTTTGCTTATTTTTCGCTATTATTGTTATTTTTCGCTATTTTTTCGCTATTTTTTCGCTATTTTTTCGCTATTGTTTCGCTATTTTTTCGCTATTTTTTCGCTATTTTTTCGCTATTTATTTGTTATTTTTTCGTTCTTTTTCGCTATTTTTTCGCTATTTTTTAGCTATTTTTTCGCTATTTTTTCGCTATTTTTTCGTTATATTTTCGCTGTTTTCTCGCTGTTTTTTCACTATTTTTTCGCTATTTTTTCGCTATTATTTCGAAAAAAAAACTTTTTGAGTGCATGGGGGGGGTCGCGCGATTTTCGC